ATGGGTGAACGCTCCATGGGTGAACGCTCCATGGGTGAACGCTCCATAGGTGAACGCTCCATAGGTGAACGCTCCATGGGTGAATGCTCCATAGGTGAATGCACCATGGGTGAAAGCTCTGAGTGATCGCTCGATGGGTAAAAGCTTGATGTGTGAATCCTCGATGGTTAAATCACTGAATGGGTTAAAGCTCAATGTTTTAAGCACTCTGTAAATGAACATTCGACAGGTGAACGCTCAGTGGTTAAATCACTTAGTGGGTGAAATTTTGGTATACAAACTGCTCGAACACTGCTGGTGTAAATGTTCAGTGGTTCAACACCTGAGCACTTGTACAGGAAGCAGCCCTCTCAATGTCTACAAAGTTCTCACCTCTTATTGTGATCATGACCAAGCTGGACAAGGTTTTTCTTGTCAAATGAAAGCACTTTGGATTTGATGCAATAAAAGTAGGAAAAGTCCATGATTTTTCCTTCAGATTCAGACCTTTTGAAAAAAAAAACTGAAATAAATGCCCTAATGATTGTTGCACAAGAGAATATTGCTGAGTTGTTAAGAATTCATCCGATTTATATCTGATGAATGGTGCCAATTAATGCAAAAGCTGGTGACTTTGAGAATCCTAAAACGATATTTAATTTTAGTCACCGGGTTTCCATGAACCAAAACTGTACCTAAAGGCAACTAAACCTCAAGTTATCTGTACCTCAGTTCAATCACATGACTAAATGTTCTTCATTCAGTACAGTTTTTAAGAACTGACAGCTTTCATGTTGATAAGGACCTAGATTATTTCAGGACCTAGAAATGTTTATTTGTTGGGTTTAGATAATGTGAGTCAGATGTTTTCAAGCATGATTGTGTATTTCAGTGTTTCCTTTGACGTCTTTTTAGTCACTGAGATGTGTTGGTAAAGATTTGTCATCAAACTGCTTTTTTCCCGTCGTCGTAAATAAAGTCTTCATGCTAACATCATCATACCCTGTTCTATTCCCTGCAACGGTTGAAATCATCGGATCAGCTGGGTCTCATTGCACTTCTATGAGTTTTCAACCCATGAGCTCAGACCTGAATCAGCTCATGTTATAAATAGCCCTGCTGATTGTCTGCGGACTGGAGATAAACACATTTGGTTTTAGGTTTAGGAGTGAAAGTGAAGTTTCTTTCAGCCTCAGGAGCAAAAATGTATATATTTTTAGTTTCACAGTGAGAATAAACCAGACGGGACGGATGGATAACCAGAAAAAAATGTTGAACCTTTTAAAAGCTGCTGAAATGAAGGCATTAAGGAAGCAAGAGAGCTAGGAAGGAATGAAGGACTAATAGAAGGAAGGAGAAGGTGAGGAGCAAAAGAAATGATCACGTTTAGTGATGAGTTCAACCCAGGGCGCAGACAAACGCACCGAGAGACTCTATGGAAAAAAAAACAACAAAACTAATTTATTTAAAAAGAACAGAAAACAAATACTCACAGGAATGAAAAACTCTGGACGACACTGAGGACCAGACATGAAGAGCTTATACAGCACGATGCCAGGACGAGAAACTAAAGAGCAGAGAGTGAATATAACAGGACACTAACGAGGGAGAAACACCTGGGGGGACAACGAGGAGCAGGTGAGAGCGGAAGGAGCAGGAGCTGACCACAGGAGGGGAGAACCACTGTGGGAAACACAAAAAACTCAAAAGACAGGAAAACGCAACACAAACCACAAAGGGTAATACAATAGTCCCTCGTTTAATGAGACCCCCCTCCCTCGGCAAAAAGCGAGAAAATCCGCAAAATAGCAACGCTATATTTAGTTCAGTATTTGTAAATATTTAAGGCTTTATAAACCCTTCCCACACTCTTGCAATGTTCTAAACTCTTAAACCTACTGTACGTCATACAGTATTAACAACATACGTACAGTACTGTATATGTAGCTACTAAATTTTACTCGCCAGCTCTACAGAACAGCAGCGGCTCAGTTCTTCTTCTTGGTTCCTATTCGGCGGAACTACCCTGACGGTTCTGGTCCACTTTCTGGCTCGGGGTGGTGGTGGGCTCCGGAGGGAGCGCTGGACCTATGGCGGCGCATCCCCCGCTCAGAAGTCCTCGCGGGCCAGCTACCAGCTCTCGGATTCACAGATGGGTCTGGAGGTCCGGTTCTGGTCCGGTTCCCAGTGGGTTCCGTGCAGCTCTCTGAACCCGTTGGGCAACAAAGTCACTGTAAAGGACCAAACTTTTTCCAATCAGATCAATACTTTCCCTCTACGCATTTCAGCAGAAGACAATGGAGCTTCTGGGTGGGGCGCTGTTGACTTCTGGGAAATGTAGTTCTTATGAGTGGCGATACAGTGTGAGAGAAAACTACAAAATAGTGGCGCCTTTCTCAAGTATTTTATTTTTTTCGTGAACTTTTCACTGTACAGTACTGTCCCAATCACGTAACATTAAAGTTGACAATTTTTTTTTTCTCGTGTTCAATCTTACTTTGAAAAGCCGCGATAGATCAAGTCCGCGAAAGTCGAACCGCGACGTAGCGAGGGACTACTGTAAAACTAAAAGAAGAACACAAGGAATAATACACAAACTATGACAGAAATGGAAGAGGCAGAACGAAGGGTTGATGAAAGAAAGGAAGGAAAAAGGAGAGAAAGAGGAAGAAAGCACTGAAAGCAGAACAAAATAAAAAGAGGAAATTTTAAAAAGTAAGGAAAAAACAACCAAAGAGCAGTTCTTTTGTCAATTTTTCAAATAACTAAATTCCAATTAAAAACAAACAAGTCAAAAAATTTGAATCGTTTATGGAAATATTCTAGGAATTGAAAGCTTGGAAAAAACAATCACAGATACAGCAAGAATAAAGCGAGTGAAAGAAAGAAGCAAAACTTAAGAAAGAATGGAGAGAGAAGAAGAAAAACAGGAGCAATAAAAATGAACAAATACATAAATGAATAAATAAATAAGGAAACAAGAAAAAAAAAAGTCCCTGATAGAACCGATGTAAACACTTCACCTCACGGAGTACTCGAGTAAAAGTACTTGGATACCTGCTGCTCTGGTGTCAAGTATCCCCCGGTCTGCTCGGGGGTGGAGGCAGGGTCTCACTTTAGGAGAGGGAGTCCGAGGAGCGGCCGTGGCTTCTGAGGAGCAACTTTATTCAGTCAGAGGTAAGAAAACACACCAAAACACACACATGTACACTCTGACACACACCGACACACTCTGAGGTTTTTGCTTCTCTGTCGGTCTCAGAGTTTCCTTCGTCTGAGTCGAGACCTTCTGTTGGCTGAAGTTTGTGCTGGTGTGAGGCCTGCAGGCCGAGGCAGCTGTCACCTGCTTAAAATAGATCTGCTGGAAGGACGCACACACTTCACTTTCATCAGCAAACTCTTGTTGATCACACAAGCGAAGACAAAAAAATCTATTTATTTATTCAATAGAATCCAAATTCCAACGTTTTGAATATTTGGTTCTAAAAACTTTAGTAGGTTTAGTGCAGGCGTGGGCAATATATGGTTCGAGGGCCAAAAGTGGCCTTTGGACAACTTTTATCCGGCCCTCAATATTCTTAATTGATAACAACTTTTAAATAAGTTGATGAAAACCTGCATTTTATCAACGAAATTTAAGTCTAAATTAAACATCTTGGGCAATTACATCGAAAAACTTTAAATTAAGAAAGGCCAAAAACTTTAACCTGAAGTCGTTATGTTTCCAGAACTAGACTGAACATTAAAGAGTCCAAAAAGCAAGAATATGGTGTTTTTTTTTAATACATATTAAGGCTAACAAGGATATTGTCTCAAGAGCCCGTTTACAAAGAATATGTCTTATATTCCTAGAGTACTGACGAGACGTTTTTATCAAGCATGCTAACTTGGCTACAACAAGATAAAGCCTGAAAGAAGTGTTCCAGTTTATTTGTCTTAAAGAAAATGTATGTACTATTCCTCTATGCGGACCTTCGATTGCTTTAAATACATTGATTTGGCCCTCTGGAAAATAATGTTGCCCACTCCTGATTTAGTAAGTTACATAAGTTTAGTAACTTGGGGGTATTTAGATTTATAGATTCTGATAAATATTCTGATATGTATGATATACATCTGATATGTTAAAACACACACACACTAAATAACTTAAAACAGACCAAAGTAGTTATACGAAAAAAATCTAAATGCAAGTCAATCAAAATCATTTTGAATTTTGGTTCAAGAGAATTATAAAAAATAAAAAAAACAAACAATAAATTAATCTGGCCTTGATATAAAGGACTTAACACTGTGAATGTTTATGAAGAATTCACACTATTGTGATCCATTTTTCTTCCATATATTATTCAGCTTCTTTCTCGTTCCACAATTTTTGTGCTAGTTCAACAAATCATAAATCAAAACGTTCAGCTCTTTCAGGAGAAGGATGCTGTGACTTATGGTATTGGTGCAACTTTAGCTTTTTGAAATATATTTAGCCTTTTCTGCAACTTTTTCCACATAGAAAATTAATTAAGCTCATTTTCCATCTTTCAAGTCTGTTTACATCCTTTTACGGCTCCTTTCACATTTTGTTTTGTTTCAGCTTCTTTCAGCTTCCTTGTGCAAATTTAAACATTTTGTCAGCTAATTTTAGCTGTTTTGTGATCCTTTCAGAATATTTCTGCTAACTACAACATTTTGTGCTTCTTCTAACTTATTTCTACTAGTTTCAGCTTGTTATGCCCTTTTCAGCTTATTTCTGCGTTTCACCTTTTTCTGCAATTTCAGCTACTATTTAGCCATTTAATGCTAATTTTAGCTGTTTTGTGATCCTTTCAGGTTCTTTATGCTAACTACAACATTTTGTGCTTCCTTTAACTTATTTATGTTAGTTTCAGCTTGTTATGCCTCTTTCAGCTTATTTCTGCGTTTCACCTTTTTCTGCAATTTCAGCTACTATTTAGCAGTTTAATGCTAATTTTAGCCTTTTCAGCTAACTCCACATTTTTTGCACTCATTTAAACTTTTTTCAGCATAATTCAGCCAAAATATGCTCTCTCCACTTCCTTCTGGTAACTTAATCTTCTTTCTGCTGTTTTAGCTACTTTTCAGATGGTTTTGTTGTTGTTGTTGTTGTTTTGCTAATTTCTGCTTTTTTCAGATCATTTCCACTTTTTTGTTTTAATTTCTGCTTCCTCCAGCCTAACTGGGCAAACATGTTCTTTCTGCTTTCTTCTGCTAATTTAAATTTGTTCTACCTTTTCAGCTACCTTGTTACAATTTTTTGGGTAGTTTTAGCTGTTTTCAGTTAAATACAAGTTTTTGTGGTAATTTCTGCTACTTTCCTTCCCTCCATTGACTATGGTGACATTATTTATATGAATGCCCCTGCTAGCACCTTGCAGATGTTGGACACTGTCTATCATGGTGCACTAGATTCATAATCACTGCACCCTGTATTTGCACTGGTCATCATCATCTACACACAGGCTCTCTCACTGGTACATCTTCATCTTTAAATCACTTCTTGGTCTGTTGCTTTCATGTAACTCCTCCTACATATCACATCGTCAGTGCAGTTACGGCGTGCGCTCTTAGGGATGCAGCGTTCAATCAGTGTGGACTGAACTTTGCAAAAAGGCCTGCAGCTGTCCAATTTGATTTCTTTAAGGGATTTTAAACATCTGATAATGTCAATAGAACAATCTATGTTTTAGTATTTTACCTTGTTTTATATGGCACATTGATTTGACAGTTTTTGTAACACTAATTTAATTTTAATTGCTTTTTGCTGAATATCATTGTCTGCACTTTACATGTTCTGTCTGGAACAGGTCTCTCTTGTAAATGAGTCCTCGTGACTCAATGAGACTAACCTGTATGAATAAAGGTTGAAGGAATCTTCTTTCTAAGCTCCTGTGTCCAATCTGTAGTTTTCTATGCTCCACGTTCGGCATGTTAAACACCAAGTTATTTCTGGGATTATTGCGGGTGTTTCTGTCTTTAACCAAAAGATACAAACAACTTTTTCTGTGCTGTTTAACTGTTAAAGTTTTAAAGCAAGGCGTGTTTTTAAGTTGCTTCAACGTGTCGAGAGTCAGAAACGCACCAACAACTGGACAGAAAAGAAATAGAATTAAAAAAAATGGTTTTGTAGAACAGGAGGAATCACCTGACTGAAACTTGAGATTTATTCTTATTCATCAGTGGTGATAAGAACCCATCCTGGTTGCTATGGCGACACCCAATGAGATGGAGGATGGTGGCGATCAGACAGTTCCTGATGGAGACGAGGAGGAAAGGAGCGTCCGGGGAATTCAGTCTCACTACCTGCGCTGTCCGTCCCCCAGGTAGGAAGACGTCCTGCTCCACGTTGTTTAAAGATGCACTTTTATGTCTAAAATTCAGTTTGAGACATTCAAATTCACTGACTGGAACCCAAAAGTTATAAATTTTCTTTTAATTTAATTAAAGATTACAAAAAAAAAAAAACTTTAGAGAAACATAAATGGAGAAAACTTTTCAACGAGTCATTTCACAGTTGTGTTTATTTCAGAATAAACTCCTGTGGGGAAACTCTGAGGATGAACTTTTTTTTTTTTTTTTTTCAGTTTCTCCATGATGTCAGAGTCCAGGTTCTCCATGATCTCTGGGTCGGATGCTGCCAGCATCTTCATGGAGCCCATCCACCTCTCCTCGGGCGTCGCTGCCAAGAAAATCATCAACGAGGGTGAGAAATAGGAGGGAGTGTCATTAACAGGGGAGTAGTGGTGCAGAGGTTAGAGAAGGGGGGCATCCTTTAGATAATTTTGAATAAAGTAGATGCCATTTCCTGCATTCTGGTGTATTTTATGGGTTCTTAAACATCTAAGTTTACCTATGTAAGTAAACACTTGATTCAATAACTATTTTAGAGAGCAAAAAGAAATAGCCTGACCAACAGCTCTCCTTGTGTGAATAGAGACAAGATATCCAAATGAAATTTTTTTTTAATGTGAATGGGACACGTCCCCTTCACATACTGTATAATTGTTGCGACAGGGCTCCCAAACAGGTCTCTATTGAAAGTGAGTTCTCGTGACTCAATGAGACTATATATAAACAAAGGTTAAATAAAAAAAATAAAATAAAGATTATTAGAACAAGACAAGATATATTAGAGTTTTATCTTCATTCAGGCTTTTAAAGATAAACAAACCAAGAAATAGAAACCTAAATACAATAAAGGTCTAACAATCCTTAAAATAATCATTTTTGTTCTGCTAATATTCACTTTAGCAATTGTTCAACTACTTCTAGCTACAATTTTAATACTTTAAGCCACCATTCTGCTATTTTTGGCTTTTTGCTAGAGTTTTGCTAATATTAGCATTTGTTTAGCTAATTTTAGCTACTGTTTTGTTAATTTTAAGATCTATTTAGCTTATTCTTTGGCTGGTGGTCTGCTGTTGGTAGCTTGTGTTCTCGTTTTAGCCTCTATTCTGCTTGTTTTAGCTTGTAAAACTCAGTTTAAGCCTCTTTGACAACTTTCAGCAGTCGTTAAGCACTTAATCTTCACCCTATTTGTAGATAGCACAAAGTCACAACAGAAGTTATTTCAAGGCACTGAACAAATACATTCACATACATAAAAATTTTATTAATAACATTATTTATCTAAGGTTGCCAGCAGATTGTGTTGAGTCTAAAATGTACATTTACGTCGTTTTCCATAAAATATTACGCTTGTGGCCACGTGTTGTAAATATTGATTCATCTGTTTGAAATAAGCTAAACTAATAGATCACATCCCTCACTTAAACCAACTCAGAAGGAAATTATTTTAACGTAATAAAGATTTAAAGCTGGGAGAGGATATGGGATCAGATGAGGACCAGCCTTTTTCTTTCCTTCTTCCAGATGCAGAATGTGAAATAATGAGCTCTAAATGGGTCAAACAGATTCAACTCACAGCCGATCCTCATTCCAGTCCTTCAGCTCGTTAAAGAGCAGAAAGACGGTGGCTCCACATGACGAGATGTTTCTCGCTGGAGGAGCAGAGTGACGCTAATGGAGGGAATTAGCCTCCGAGATAAGCTCCTGTATCAGACATCAGCCGCAGCGTAATGGACAATACATGTTTCGTCTGCAGCTGCAGCAGATGTTTCTGCGTGAATCAGATGTTTTATTTTGGGGTTGATGGTGCTCGGGAACAACAGAAATTCTGGATGGACGCATGAGTTCTTCAGGTTGACAGTCAGAGAGCTTTTTAGTCCCTCTGGAAGGTGAAAATGTCAGGCAGCATGTATCAAAGCACAAGAGGAGCCTTTACTGTCACCATCATAGAGACTTCAGACTTTTAATATTTAATAAGAAACTCTGCTATAAGAGCGAAATGTAACAGGTGTAAAAGCATGTGTATTGTGGCTTGTTAGCAGATTAGGAAAAACAGTGTTTATACATGTCTATTAGCTTTGACAAGAAAATGAACAAAAAGTTAATTGTTTGCCACATTATTCTGCCACTTCCTGCATTAAGTTATAATTTTACGGCAGGCAAAAACACCGGAATTATAAAAAGTCAGCTTCTTGATTCTAATTTGGGTCACAGGCAGCCCTCCATGCAGAGTGATAT